GTCCCCGCAGGGCCCGCGGAGCGAGGGCGGGCGTTTCGCTGCAGGGTCTCTCGTGTCCCTCGCACCTGTGCTCATTCCCGAGCGTCTGCTGTGCGTATGTCGGGAAGTGGCGCTGCGGTGGGACGTGCCCCGTCTGGGGCTTGCTGTCAGCAGCTGGGTCGCAGCGGGGTGTGCCCTTCCCGAGTCTGGAACCCCGGCTGGGAGAGCCCGGGAGGGTGCAGGGCCTCCTATCCGGGAGCGTCCTGGAGGACTTGACTTCCCCACCAGGTCTTGAAGGAAGGGCGGACATTAATTCCAGGACAGCAGACGTCGGGGTCGTTGGTGTGGTAGGCGTTGTTTTACGTGCTGCGTGTGGTTCTCAACCAGGAGTGGTAACGCCTGCCCCTCTCCCCAGAATATTTGGAAATGGGTGGCAATCTTTTTAGTAGTTGATACGGTGAGGAACGTCACAGTGATGGACAGTGGAAGGACCCAGCGGTGCACAGTGCAGAAGTGTCCTGGTCAGCGTGTTGGTGGGGCCCCTTTGGGGCACGAGTATCTCATTTAAGCCGGGCAGTAGTCCCTAGACGTGGGCCCAGCGGCTACTTGCACGCCCTAGTGGTGGAACGGACGGGGGAGAGGGCAGCCTGCCTGCATCATGTTGCTAATGCATGGGGGAGCCTGGATTTGAACCCAGGTGATTGGTTGCTGAGCCCAGGCTCTAGCAGTATACCTTGCTACCCCTCAGCTGTAGCGGGACAGGGGACAACATGCAGAGGCTTGTGGCTGTGAGATGGCCTGGCCACTGCAGAGAAAGACTAGACGTCAAGCACAGTGTCTTCAGTAGCATTGGTAAACACTCGTCTTGAGTGTTGCCGGGGAGCGAGGCAGAGGAGTGGATCTGGCCAGACTGCGACAGGCCCTGCTGGCCACCCTCAGGGCCGGGGCTTCATCCCAGAGGCAGCGACAAGCCCTCGGAGGCTTATGGCTGCATGTTCATGGGGGCTGAAGCAAGGGCCCAGGTCTACAGCAAAGGGAAGTTTGAGCAGGGGATGCTGCGGGCCCCCGACTGGAGGGTCGATTTGCTCGTTCGCTCAGTCAGCAGGTGTTTATCGGGCACGAACTTTCTCAGGGTCCAGAGACACTGCTGATAAGACCCGGGAGGGGCCAGGGGTCCCCGATCACTTAGAGACTTTAATGTCACATTAAGGAGTTTGGGTTTTATTTAAAATGGGTGTAATGGGAAAGGAGGGGGGGTGACATGGTTTGGTTTCTGTCCCCATTCTGGAGGCTACTGCTGTAGTCAGAAGAGGGATGATAGTGGTTTCAGCTGGGGCTATGGCTGTGGAGACGGTGGGAAATGGGTGGATTCAAGATATTTCTGGGAGGAAGAAAAGGGAGAACTTGCCGATGGGTTGGAACGAAGACCCAGAGGGGGAGAGAATCGAGAATGAGAACAGAGTCTTGAACTTAGCAACTGTGGATGGAGGTGCCAAACAGTGGCGTCGAGACAGTCTGTGGTGGACGTCGGCTCACCCGCTGCCTAGATCCTGCAGTTGGCGCTTCCCTCTGCTTGCTGTATCCCAGAGGTAGCCATCATTTGTGCCTGATCCATCTTATTTTTTGGCGTACATTTCAAAGTAGTTGCAGACACCAGTGAACTTCATCCCCAAATGTTTCGGTTCAAACCCTGAACATTGTAATTAGAATCCAGTATTTGTCCACAGCTTTTTTTTAAAGTTAGGCCTTGAAGGAAGGGCTGACATTAATTCCACAGTGCGCACAGTGAGTGACATGCGTGCATCTTATCGGATGAGTTAGATGAGTTTTCACAAATGTGGGCAGCTAGTGTAACTCGAACCCCCGTCAAGACAGAGAACATTACCATCACCCAAAAAAGAGTCCCCATGTCCCTTTGCAGTGAAATCTGACCCTTATCCTCCTAGAGGCAACCACTGAAAGTGGTAGTTTTAAAATGTATACGTGAGTGGACTACATTTTGCGGGGCTGTGGAGAGGGAAAAAGAGGTACACAGGGAGCCAGCCAGGCCGGAATGTGAGTTTGAGGTTTGGCAGGTGGGATCCTGGGCCGGGGCTGTAATGGTGCCATTAGAGTGAAGCGTGTGTGTTGGGGACGTCTTCGTGTGTTCTGTCTCTGTTTCTTTGGTCTTTGAACTTCATAGGGGTCAAGGCTGGAAACATTAGCGGTTAGGGCAGAGCGGGACGGGCAGGTCCCTGGAGCATGACTTCCGGGGGTGACGTCTGTCTGCGCCGGGGGACCCTGGCTTCTTCAGCTGACAGCCAGGGAACTTCTCATGAAAGGGTTGAAGGGCTGTCCCATGAACCCTCCCACTTCCAGGTCTGCAGAGAGGGTCAAATTTTATTCTATCTACACTGGGGACATTAGAAAATGCAGATCCCTTGGTCTCAGGCGATCTCCTGTCATGCTTACTGAATAGGATTCCTGGTCGGTGCCCCAGGAACCTGTGTTGTAACTGTGCTCCAGCTGCTGCTGGAGGTTGCATACTGGGTTTTGAAGTTTGAGGAGAGCAGTGTTGGGACCAGATGCGTGTAAGGCTTGGTTGCAGCTCCGAAATCTCTGAGCCGATGTTTGCCGGCCTGTGAGGGGTGGCTGCTGGCGACGCCATGACAGTGAGCCATGTGATGAACACGAGCACCTGCCGCATAGTGAGCACCTGCCGCATAGCGAGCACCCACCCGACATCGGCGCCTCACATCCTGCTCCCTGGAAAGGCACTTGCGATCGAACTCAGCGGTGGAGGGCGGTTGATGTTGGGTCAGGTCGATGGGTCATTCCCATAAATCACACGCCCTCAGCCATCAGTCTTGGGGGGATCTGGTCAGCGGAGGCCAGCTCCCCGCCCAGCTCCCTGCCCAGCCCCATGTTCCAGGCTCGGAAGCCAGTGAGGGGGGTCGGAATCCCCTCCCGTGTGACTGGCTGGTGCCGTCCCGGGGCTGGGCCGGTGCTCACCTGCGCTGCGTGTCTCTGCCCTCACGCAGAGACGAGTCTCCAGGCCCTTCAGAACATGCCCCGTGTGCTCCGCGACGTGGAGGCCCTGAGACAGGAGGCGTCCTTTCTGAGGGAGCAGATGGTGCTCATCAAGGAGGACATCAGGAAGTTCGAACAGGACACATCTCAGTCCATGCAGGTATTTGGGCTCCCGTCCCAGCGCTGGTTCTGGATTTGGGAGGTGCTGCACGCAGACCCCTCTCTGGCTGGGTCCTGCCAGCTTCTTCGCTGTTCAGCACCCGCTTGACTCTAGCCTGAGGCTGTGGCGGGCACGGGGCTCCCCAGGATAGGCATGCCGCGGCGCTAGCTCAGGGCGCCAGGGGAGGCGGCAGACGGGGCGCCCTCCCTCGGTTCCCACGCCCTTTGGCCCCTTTCCCGCTCAGGTGCTGGTGGACATCGACCAGGTGAAGTCCCGGATGCAGCTGGCCGCGCAGTCCCTCCAGGAGGCGGACAAGTGGAGCACGCTGAGCGCCGACATCGAGGAGACGTTTAAGACGCAGGTAGGTTCCCTGTTTAGGGCTGTGGCAAAGTCCCTTTGGGTGAGGCAGCCGTCTGCTCAGCACTCTGACACCCTGACATGGGGACAGCGTGCAGACCTGGGGAGGGGGATCTGAGGCCCTGGGCTTCCACCCCTTCGGCTTGCACCCTCTGCTTGCCCGAAGCTGCTCAGTCCCTGGGTGGCTCAGAAGCCCTGGAACAAAAGGTGGGAAACGGAGCAAACGGCCTCACGGAGCGCAGGCACAGGGACCTCGCGCCTGGGACCTGGGCTGCGGGTGGGCGACATGTAATGTGGCTCCACTGGCTTATTGGGGTGATGTGAGCTGGTGCCGTGGGAGAAACGCTCTCACTTGTGAAGCGTGATTAATTGTTTGTCATCTCTTTTGCTGTTTTTGAAAACTTTATAAGGTTTTTAAAAAAGTTATAAATGCACACGGGAAAAGATTTGTGAGTAGCAATAAACAGCAAAAAGTGTCTTTCTCGTAGCCCTGACGAGTGACCCGTAATTTCTGCTTTATTTGTTACTATGGAAGAGTAGGTTACTTCCAGGCTTTTGTTATTACGACACTAAAATCACAGTGATTATAAAACATTAATATCTTTGTGTCCCTCTGATTATTGCCTTAGAGCGATTTCTAGAAGAGGTAGTACCAGGTCAGAGGGCTGAATATTTTTAAGGCTCTTGATGCAAGT